AGTGCAGTTTGAGAACCCCGATTGGGATCACCCTGCCTCCCTGCACAAAGAGCGCCGGCGGCCACCGAAGCATCTGACAGCCGGCCTGAAGCACGGCCGGCCACAAAGCCCGGAGCGCAGCCCCCCCGTGGCCGAGCGCGTGGACCCCTCGCTGCCCCTGGAGAAGCAGGTGTAAGTCTCAGGGGAGGGCAGGCCGGGCAGCTGGAGGGGTGTCAGAGACCTTTAGATCCCTGCCTGCTGCCATGTCCCGGTGGCAGGCCACCCCGGGCAGGAGCTGAGGCCAATGCCCCCCAAGCCAGCCACGCAGGTGCAGCTGCGGCCAGAGCGCTGAGCTTGTAATGTATTCGTCCCATGGTGCACTGGGGCAAAGCGTGCGTCTGCGTCATTGGTGAGCGCGCAGCGCTGAACCCTGGAGCTACCCGCGCCGTCACATGCCAGGAAACGGTTGCCAACGTCAGGAGCCGGGAGGGATTCTGGGAGTTTGGCCTTTCCTCCCAGAGGATGGTTTGCAGTCACCCCACAATGCATCCCGGGGGGAGCACCGCTATGCATTCTGGGAAAGGCACTGCTGCTGCCCCACCTGAGCTCAGGGCCAGTGCCCACAGGGGGTAGGCACTGACACCGTTCCCGAGTGCCACGTGCTGACAGGCCTGTAGCAACAGGCCTCGCTGTCAGTCGCCCTGTGTTGGGTGTGGTCACTCCCAGTAGGACAAAGGCGCTAGTAGCAGGTCGCTCCCCCTCTCCATTGGGGTAAAGGCCCCCCTGAGGTCCAGGATGGTGGGGAAGAACTTGGGAGGTGGGACGGGACAGAGGGCCATGCGCCTGTCACGATAGCAGGGTGGCCAACCCCAAGCATTTGAAGTTTCCGAACCAGGTCCCCCAAAGCCGTGAGAATCGTGAGCAATCCTGCGATTCAAAGAATGGCAGAGAGCAGGCTCCGTCGTGTACCTCCTCGGTTCGGGGCTCTCAGGCTGGGCTGTGTGTTCAGACGTTTCTCCACAAACAGGAGAGCTTGACACCCCCTTGATTTAGACAGGTGAGCTGAGGTTCTCCGGCCTGCCCACGACTCTGGTAGCTGGGGATTTGAGAAAAAGCTGGCAATGAAAAGAAGGTTTGTGAGGGGCTGGTTCTAGCGCCGTCTGCAGTAGGAGGGGTGGGGGGAACCAGCCTCGCTAATTTGCAGATGGGGCTTGCTAGGTTTGTGGCTGGGCTGATACACCGGAGATCCCTGCGGGAGCCGGGGACTGGCCCAAAGATCGCGGGGCTCCCTTCTCGCCCTGGGTGATCTGTTCCCGCGAGGCTGGCAGTGAGCACTGGCTGCCCTGTCGCCGTGTGACCAGCTCCCTCTCCCCCTGCATCAGCTGGTACCATGGCTCCATTAGCAGAGCGGAAGCCGAGACCCCGCTGACGCTGTGCAAGGAAGGCAGCGACCCACGACTACTCCCTGTCGCTCAGGTGAGACGCCCGGCCGCATTCCCCCGGGGGATTGTCTGCAGCGGGGGTCCTCAGGCACCAGGTGGGCAGTCGTTAATAAAACCAGCACCCCCACCAGGGGAGCTGTTAGCCCCTGTTGCACAGATGGGGAAACTGAGGCACGGAGCAGGGAAGGTCTGGTCCCTAGTGGCAGGATGGGGAATAGGCATCAGGAGACCTGACTTGAGGAGGTCGGAGGTTTTCGAAGAAGCCCAGGGGGTTAAGTGCCTGACTCCCCCACTGCTAGGTCCAAGTGGAGATCCCATTCCTCTGCTCTAACCACTAGACTCTCTCGCTCCCGGAGCTCCCCTGACACCCTCTCTCACTCACCTCCCTGGAGCTGTGGTGGGGAGTGGGGAGAAGCTGGTTCTCTCTTGCCCTCAGGCCTGGGAGGTGAAAGAGGCAGGGGCTGCAGCAACAGACGTTGCTCCACAGTATCCGAGGAGAGCAGCTGATCAGTGACATCACTACGCTTCGCCTTCTCTGCCAGGGGGCGGGTGCACGGCAGGCTGTGGGGTGGGCAGGCACTGTGCTCGCTTCACTCTTGCCCCACTCCCTGGCACTGGGTGGGGAGCCAGAGCGCCTGGGACCTGTGGTGGGGGCAGGGCACTGCGCCGGGGCAGCTCGACTCCTGGAGCCACGGACTTCATGTGGGGCATGGATGGGTGAAAACGTGGTGTCATCAATCACAGCCCTGAGTACCAGGGCCAACCATGCCTCTGTCTCTGCTCTCCGGCCCTCGAGCGCCAGCCCGAGTGGCGCCCTATGGAAGCTACCTTCTCCTGACGGCTTTGTGGCTTGGCCCATAGGGCTGCCCTTCACTGCGGGGTGGAACCCCGGTGCTCATCAGTCACTGCTTTGTCGCATGGATAAAAACATCAAAACCCCCCAAAGGGTCTTAGTGGGTCCGTCTAACCCACAGTCCTAATGGCCGTTCCACGTGTAACAGAGGGAATGAACAGAAGAGGGTGATTATCAAGTGATCCTTCCCGATGGTCCAGTCCCAGCATCTGGCACTCAGAGGTTAGGGACATGCAAAGCATGGGGCTCCATCCCTGACCATCTTCGTTAATCGCCATGGCTGGACGTGTCCTCCAGGGACGGATCTAATTCCTTTTGGAACCCAGTTATACTTTTGGCCTTCATCACATCCCCTGGCAAGGAGTTCCGCAGGTTGGCTGTGTTGTGTAAAGAAGCAACTTCCTTTTGTTTGTGTTACACCTGCTGTCTGCTAATTTCACTGGTTCTTGCAGCATGTGAAGCAGTAACTAAAGCTGCCCTAGTCGCTGTCTCCACACCATTTATGATTTTATTTCCATCAGACCCACCCTTAGTCCCCAGGGGGGTGTCCGGAGCTGCATGCAGTACTCACTAGCGTGGGCATAGAGCAGCATTATGAAATGTTCCAACTTATTATCTCTCCCTTTCCTAATATTTTGTTTGCTTTTTTGACTGCACCTGCCCACTCAGCAGATGTTTTCAGAGAACTATCTGCAGGGATTCCAAGATCGCTTTCTTGCAGCTAATGTAGATTCCCATCACTTTGTAAGAATAGCTGGGATTATGTTTCCCAATGGGCATTGCCTCGCATTTGCCACCGCTGAATTTCATCTGCCTTGTTGCCCAGTTTTGTCAGCTCCCCGGGTAATAATTTGCTGTCTGCTTTGGACCTAACTAGCTTGAGTCATTTTGTATCATCTGCAAATGTTGTCTCCTCGCTGTCTGCCGCTTTCTCCAGACCATTTATGAATATATTGAACAGTACCGGGCCCAGCACAGACCCCTGGGGGACCCGGCTATTCTGGACGGGCGCGTGGGTCTGTGCTGAAGGATGGGAGCCAAGACTTCTGTTCCCAGCTCCTGGGTGAATGTGTGCTCATAGGGGCGGGCAGAACCTCCCTCCCCGCCCCGTCCTGGGAAAGCTCCTGTTCCCAGCTCCAGGAGGGGAGTGGGGCCCAGTGGTCAGAGCAGGGACCTAGGTGGGAATCAGCATTGTGTGAGCCCAGGCCCTAAATCTTCCCTCCAGGGGTGGGTGAGTATTTAAGTCCTAGCTGACTGTAAAGGGCTCGAAGAGCCTTGGCGGAGGGGAGGGGCAAGAGGCCCATTCTCCTCTCACCAGGACCCTCCAGGCCCTTCCCGCTGCACCCCGGCGCAATCCCCCGACAAGTAGCTCCCCGTGAACTCTCTGCTTGGAACATCTGCTGCTGATTAGCGCCCGGCCTGCACATCAAAGGGCCGGGCCGGCGGGTAGCTGACTGTAAAGGGCTCGAAGAGCCTTGGCGGAGGGGAGGGGCAAGAGGCCCATTCTCCTCTCACCAGGACCCTCCAGGCCCTTCCCGCTGCACCCCGGCGCAATCCCCCGACAAGTAGCTCCCCGTGAACTCTCTGCTTGGAACATCTGCTGCTGATTAGCGCCCGGCCTGCACATCAAAGGGCCGGGCCGGCGGGCGCTTTGTCAGCTGCCTGTGCACAGACTGAGCCGCCCGGCCCCGGGA